CACACTGGAACTGATCATACTCACAGAGAGTGAATGCCAAGCTTGGTTCTCGGAAAATGCAACAATTTCTATGGCGACCCAACCACCATCTATTCTATTAAAACAAAAGTATAAAAGAATATTTTCCTATTTTAAGTGATTTTTTTACAGATTTTCATTCCATTTTTAATTAATTCCAATCAGTTCCTTCATTGTTTTTTTTTCTAAATAATTACTTAATTTATTGTAATTATTTTATTTTGTTGTCTTGCCTGAACATGAAGTTCGTATGGTTTTGGTTTTGATGTATGGAAATTTAAAATATCCTAAAAACTTATGTATCTGAAACATGTTTGGATATTTGTACCAAAAATTATTATATTAACTGATTGAATTCCGGTAATTGAATCAAAATTAAAAATAATCAAGTAACGATATTATCCGATTTGATCGGGTTCAGTTCTGATGTATAGGACTTAAAAATATTTAATTAATTATATGATGACACATATAAAATATATAATTTAAATCCTTATGCGTACAAGACACGTTTGGTGGATGACGCTTGGACTTCTAGATCGCATTTTAGTGGTTGTGGATAGGTTTGAAAAGATAAGTCTGGATAAATCCAACTTATGGGTACAAGAAACTAAAGAATAAGAGAATTCTGATTGAATTCAGAGCTCAAAGTACTTACTTGGAATATAGAAACTATGTTATGTCACTCAACCTACTAGGACTTTAGATTAGACGGAAAGGTACTTGATCGCGATGATAAAGGAACCTCAGACGTGGTCAAACTTCTCGACAAACTCAAGGAGATAGAAGTGATACAAAGAAGATTTCAATTGAAATTTCTTTACATACCTCGAGGCCAATAAGAATTGTTGACTCTTTCTCTAGAATTGTAAGATCTTTTCATATATATATATTTGTTATGTTGATTGTTTTGTTCTGGTTTGGCTTTCCAGACCACCTATTGTTTTAATAATATAAAGGCATTTTAATGTTAAAACGATTAATAAAAAAATACTTAACTAATTGGGGATTTGTCCAAAACAATTTAGTTGGGGATTTTTTGGTATTTTTTATCTATAAACTTATATATATATAATGTATATACTGATATTATTTAGTCTAATAGTATCCTTTAGACCTTATTTGAGAAGTGATTTTGCCACATATCATTAGCACAGTCACTTTCACCAAAAAAATGTGACACGATATAGTTGAACTGATGACATGGCTTAAGTTTAATGTGACATGGACAATTACAATTAGTATTAATTTTCATTTTTGGTAAACTTTTTAGAATACGATAACAACTTATATATCATCATTAAAATAAATTTATTAGAATATAAAAATTAAATAATATAATAATAGAAATAAAAATATTTGAAATTTTGAAATATAATTTAAGTATATTTTATAATCATACAATTTTTTATTTGTTAGATTTGCAAATTTTTCTACAATATTTTTAATTTTTTGTAAATTTTAAATCGTAATACGATTTGTTTCCATTTGATATCTACAAGTTCAGATTTTTTTTAATAATTATTCAATTTTATATGAATTTTTAATTTTATACATGTCAGTTTAATATATTTTAACCAAAAATGAAAATCTATTTAAGATTATAATTATAAATATATACATATCTATTTTAAATATAAATTAAAATAAATCAAATAATTTTATTTTAGTTTTATGTTTAATTATATCAAAATTATAATAAAATATTAATATCAAATGATAATATTTGAATTTTTAACAAATTTTTGTTTTAAATATAATTCAAGTTTTAAATTTGTATTGTGTGCGGGAAAACACTTAGTGCGTCCATTTCTCACAAGTTCAATAAGATCACTTTCTCAGTATTTTGTTTAAGTTTAATGAATGCGATCATATATTTTCTTTTAATAATAGTAGAATTCCCGCTTTATATTCATAGTCTCTTTTGGATTGATATTCAGATTTAAATAATAACATTTTCTAACAAAGGTGGTTTAAACCATGGCACAAAAATAATAATCCGTGACTATATCTTGTACTCAACCTTTTTTGTTGCGATTTTACTAACTAGTGACAATTATCATTTTCATGACAAAAATATTACAATTTATTTTGTGAGTCTTATCTACAAATAGCATATTTATGAAAAAAATCTAATTTAGAACATAAAACTCTAAAAGTGATTGAAAGACCTCTCTCTCTTGATTTCTCTCCTCCTTCTCTCTACAAGACCAAACTTCTTTCGAACTGATCTTCGTTTTCCGGCCGACGATTGTGGGCTCTCACAGCCACGTCGTCAGTCGGATTTTGTTTTTTTTATGTCTTTTTTTTGTTTATGTTTTAAAGTTTCATGAGTCTACAAAAGCAGATCTTCTTCAACCAAGTTACTTTGGTCTAGTGGTAAAGGAGCTCCAGCTGGAGTGTCCGCCCCTAGGTTCAAGTCTTGGCCACTGCGGAATTTACATATAGGCTGCAGCATCCGAGATTGAAGACCGTTATAGGTGAGCCACATGGTGACGTCTTGGCAGTGTCCTTGCTCGCTTTGGTCTCTAGTCTGAACCACTTCGGTGGAGTCAGGATACTCGGTTAGCAGAAGAAAAAAAAGCAGATCTTCCTCTAGATTCCCAGATTTTGTTTTGATGGCAAAACTTCTAATGATTTGGACCTGATGACGTCTTGCATGTTCGATGGCGTTTCAGTTTCTTTGGTCTCTCCCTTTGCATGTTGGATCTGTAGCTGTTACAAAGGTTCGCTTTTGTCTCCCGCTCTGAACCAACTTCTTTAATCTGAGATGTTCTTTTTGTGCTTGCTTCTGGTGATAGTTTGCTGTGATCTGAGAGTGTGCTACTCCTGCAACTGGTTTCTCATCTTTGACCTTTTGGACAGGGTTATCCGGCTTCTTCTCAAGGAGTAGAGGCTTTGGCCTTCTAAGCATCTTGGCGTTGGTCGACGACAGAAGGTGGTTCTTCGTCTTCCTCGGTTGTTCACATCAGCTTTTCGCTCGTGGCTTCTTCTCTTTAAGAAGCAATATAATGAGATGAGCGTCTGTAACTTTAACCGGAATAAAGTTCGCTGAAGATGTTATCCGTCTTATCTCTCTCAAATCTCAGTCAAATTTATTGCTAGGGTGTCTTGTTAATTTGATTTAGATATATTTTTTTTTTCTTGTTGCTTATTAGATATACTGGTTTCTGGGGATTCTGTTTAGTCTACCGGCTTTGGTTTCCAGGAAAATCTCTTATTTTCTCTGGCTTTGGACTCTGGGGATTTTGATAAACTCGCCGGCTATCAATATAGTGTATGACCTTGTTGTAATGTGGAATCAATATAATCTTTCAGTGTTTTTAAAAAAAAAAAGAACATAAAACTCTAATATGTACGAGTTGTTTTTATTGGTCAACTAACACAACATATGAATGGGTGAAGAGTCAATCAAGAAACTTAGAGAATTCAGAAGACCTGCTTTTGGATCAATCAAAGAGTTTTCATAGATATCTTATTCGAAACAATTTTTTTGAGGGATGAATTCAATCGAATCGCATAAAGAAATATGAGAAAGCTCTTCTGTTAATTATCAAAGTATCAAAAACATACTGTTTATATAGCCCTTTCCAACCAAAAAGCCCATTAAAAAATATCATAAAATAATATTAATAGAAATAAAGCTAAAACCAAATCATATAAAGCTAAAGGATAAAATATTCTAAACTAGTGGTATTCCGGCGCTACGCGCCGGGTTCGTATACTTTATTTTTTAATGAATTCAAAGTTGTTTTTTATTCATTTTGATTTTGATATTGGCTACTGACAGTATTGTAAACGGTTTTCAGTGATTGATTCAATAAAAATAGAAAAAAATAAATGATAGTTACACCAATGTAAATATAATTGATTTTAAAACATAAAGCAAAATTGATGTTCCGAAAAAACATACCAATGTAAATATAGTTGATTTTAAAACATAAAGCAAAATTAATGTTCCGAAAAACATGTAATTGCATGTGTTGTTTTGTGATCATCTTCTTTGAATGAAGATAATAAATTCATTCATCCTCTTTAAAGTAGTAATAATTTTCTCGATTTGTCAATGTCATGGATGTGGCAATTTGTTAGAGACTTCATTGTAGATGTATTGGTTAAATATTTTGGCCTTTCATTGTGAAATCAATAAAAGAATCCTTAATCATGGTCCAGCATTGTTTGGACTTGAATTGACTATTTTTCAGGATACTTTATATTTTACCCTATAAAAAGTTAAAGACTATTACAAAATATTAGCATTAAGAGAAAATTATTTTACAACATTTTCTTTAAAAAAAAAAGAATCTTAATGGTAAGACCAAGAAAGCTGTTGGATAAAAGTGAAGATATTAGATTAATAAAAACGAATTTCAAATGAAATACGCAAACTTAATCATTTGCTTAGATAAGTAGAAAATATGTAGTAACATCTCTTGTTAGTCTTATTTGGGTCGCAACCTATTGTAGCTTTTGTTCCTTTAAGAACAGTGGAGCAACTATCTTACATAATGCAATGTCTTTTTATAAAACCTTACAATGTCATATGAAAATGATTTTTATACCTAGAGTATTTCTATTTTTGTTTGTATGGACTGTCGTAGTTTTTGAAAACTCTGATAATTTAATTGATCAAGTACATTTATTCTGTATTAATAGTTTTTGATGAATAGGTTTTAATTACTATTTCAGTATTTTTCATGCGGAGGTCATGATTTGTTTAAGGCTTAATTTGCCTTAGTCATTTCATTTGAACTAAAGGAAGACGTTTAGTAAATAATTTTAGTTAATAGCCAAAACATACATTGGGTTTAATATAGAATGGATTAAGTTTCTAAAGCTTTTTGCGATAAGAAAATCATAGGACATGTTCTATAGATAGAGTTGCAGCAGTTGGTAAAGCTGTGTCGAATAAGAAAATTAAAGGAAGACATAACAACAGAAAAAAATTTAGTGGGGAGTTTTGTTTTTTTTTTGACGTGGAGCTATGCCAAACGTGCCTTCTTCTTTTCGTTCTCATTTGGACCATAAACCGGTTTGGTTGATCCAAGACGACCGCATCCTGGTACCACAGATGAGGATGGTTGATGGTTTGCATTTATAGTCTCTCCGAGTTCTCCTTACACACCATCTGGTAGCTCAACATTAGTTTTATTGTCACCATCATAAACCTTAGATGCTACTGGATTCTCTCCAGGCATAACATCATCAGCTCTACGGTCACCACCCTGTTCAGAATGCAGTAATGATCATAAATATATTCTTTAGGGAAAAAGATAAATTAAGACAGTATGAAGTACAACATCAATAAAAAATTCTGGGAGAGGTGCATCCTGGCGCTCAGAAAGGATTGAGACAGGAAATGGTGAAAGTTTGGTTTTTGGGAGTGAAGTTGAACTCATCTAACTTGAGCTGGAAGATGAAGGTCTTGCCAAACCATATCAGCAATAAACTGTGGGAGTTTGTTGTCCACATGAGCATCGACACATCACCCAGCAAACCTGAGACATCTTAAATTTAGAAAACTATACACAGAAGGAATAGTATGTAATTCTAAATGGCTAAATATATAGCTTACCAAAATATGGGTAGTTTCAGTAGCTTGAATGTTGGTTAACTTAACCATCTCCACACGGAACAAAGTTGTAAGAAAGTTGCAGAGAGCTGCATTATTGATAACCATAAACAAAACAGTTGAAGATTACAATTAACTTTGGTAATAAGAACTCCACTCGTCTCTTTTAAAAAGACAAAGAGAAAAATATTAAAAACATAATTAAATTAGGTTATTCACTAAAAATAGATACATTGCTATATTTGTTTTCCTTTTTACAACTGAAAAGATTCAAAGTAGAATAAGCATTACACGTTGTACCTTTAAGAGATGTAGAGTAAACACTGGAGTTATTCTGCTGCGAGTACCTTTTTAGGTGTAGAGTAAGCACTGCACTGTCCTGTCGTTGATTGTGCTTCTGATGCACTGACCTCACCTAAAATGTCTTGCGAAATTGAAAGTAGAGGTTGGTTAACATAGAGGAAAGATGCTTAATTGGACGATTAGATTTACTTTAACTCAAAAAAAGAAGATTAGTTTCATTGAATAGCTTCTTGATGGTATTTGCCAATGCCAATAGCTGGTCGTGGTTGTGTGTGGAATCGAAACAGCTCAGTGGGTATTAGCTTCACTGAATCCTTAATTTATACAAATGACGTCAAATCATTAAATCCAAATAGAGACATGGGCGTGTGAGAGCCAGAAAACAGAACTCTCACTGAAAGGGATCAGTAAGTGCCGATGCAGTTTGCAGTGGTGGTGCCTTGGATGAGCGTTGACTGTTTGCAAATAACAAATAATAAGATCAGACTCTCATAATGGTTAAACGCGTACAAAACATTTAAAAAATACGGTGGTTCCACGTAGTTACCTTCTAGTCAAGAGGATCATGTGGAAAGCGACCATATTTATAGGTGAACCAATTCACCATTGTTGGATTAGATGCTTAACAGAAAGAGACAATTTGGATTTCAGTGGGTCTGTTCATCTCAAGCAACAAAGACATTTATAGATGAAGTTTCAGTCAGTTACCTTGGATTGGTTTAGTTCGAGAGAGTGGGGAAGAGTGATTCAAGACACGTTAATGCTTTGATTAATGTATCAGAATGATGTTAACGGCAGCCGTTACAGAGACAAACGCCGGAGGTGATGAGAAGTGAAGAGACAACGGCGAATCAAACCCTTAAACTATATGGGCCTCAGAAGACAAACCAAAAAAAAATGTTAATGGTGGAATTAAAGGACCAAATTAACGGAAACGTAAGGCGTTTCAAGATATACCGGGTGTGGCTTCATCCTATGATTACGACGGCGATATGACCTAAACTGATATTTGTTTTCTCCGATGACACACTGGACCTAAAAGCAATCATGATAAAGCCCAAATAAAATAACGCAAAAGAAACGATAAGAGAGAGAAAGATATGGTTGAAAGAAAGATAAAAGTCAGAATTTTGAAAAAATTAAATTCAATTGCACAGCACCAACCACATGATGACACGTGGCGAGAAAACCCCCCATCTAAAAAAGCAACGTAGACAGCTTGAGAGAGCAGATATCTCTACTTTATTATTTATAGATAGAAGTGAGCTATGTTGGCGCCAATATTGTCGATGCTACTACATCAGGATTCCTCGGGTAAGAAGGTTTTGACTGCGAATCAGAGCCATCAGAGTCAGAAACTTAACGAGAAAGGTATTTGACATTGAACATCAGAAGTACTACATCTGAAGGTAGTATAAAGACGATAAGTATTATCATTTATGTGTTCCAACACTCAGAGGGGTCAAGTTTTCTTTGCTTTAAGCTTGTTATACACATGGCATGCGTTCTCTTGTTAAGTATGCCCAAACAAGTTCTCCGACTTCAAAAACCAAGCGACGACGATGCTTATTGGCTTTCTCCTTATATTTTGTTTCGAGCTCTCCAAATTGGACAATGCCTTTGTGTGGACCTGTGAGAGTGACTCAACAAAGGCGGCTGCATCCCCCTGAATTCGAGTCTGGTCAGGCAAGGTAGACAATGCGAGGGGCTGTGTGGTATGATGCCATAAATAATCTGAAAAGGGCAAAATCCCAAGCTCTGATTGATAGAGTAATCATGAGCAAATTTAACTTGAGGCAATTTAGAGTCCCATGTCAATTTTACAAATTAAGTGTTGATTTCTTCTTTTCTACAATCATTATAGGGAAAATACAGTTTATAGGATGGACAGTCGACTCCATCAGTTTCACCATAATAATCTTTTTTATTAGAAGTATCCCAAACATATGGAAAATCTTATACTAATCACCATAATAATCTTCTGATCAGTGATCCAATGTTAAACAAGTTCTTGGCTAAAGGAGCTCATCTTAGAAGTTAGAATATAGAAAAATATTAAAATAGTGGGACATATATTTCTCCTAATCTTCCCCGCCATATATATTCGGCAACGTGGGAAGATTTAACGCAAATTAGTGCTTGTTTATTTTCTATTTAACCAAACTTATGAATTTATAGTAAATATGTGTCGAATTCTTTGCCCAAAAAAAAATGTGTCGAATTCTTTAATAATTACATGTATAATTATGGAAAACTTAAAGCAAGTTAATAGAGGCTTACTCATTGTATTGTGAGTTTCAAGAGAATAAAAAATAGAGACAGTTTTGTGGGGGAAAATTGTTGGAAAGAATTGAAAAATAGGAAAAAAAAAGACTCGCAGAAAGAGAGAAGAAGAGAAAGAAAAAGGGGAGGAAGGAGAGAGAACCCACCACCCTTTGGCCCTGGAGAGACCAAAGATGGTCGAAGAGAAAAAACTCTGAGATCATCATCATCAACATTCTGCAAAAACAAGGGCAAGTTCAACAAGAAATCAGAAAATATAATCCAATACTCATTAAATTTTCTTTAAAAAGTCATTTTCGCCTCCTGGGATATATTTTAGTCCTCGATTCCCAATTTCTTTGTTAAGAATTTTCTTCTTTAAGGTAAATTAATTTTCTTCTGATTTTATGTTTGATTTTGTATACATAATCTGCAAATGTTGTTCACTTATTAGAAAAAATAATTTATTTTTTGGAATTTTTTATGGGTTCCATAATTGCTTCACGTTGCTTCTTCAAGGGGTTATTCTTATACCATTTTAAAAGGTTATTATTTTAATAGTTTTTCTTCAAATTTTGATATTTCTTTTTGTTTGTTTAATGTTGTCTTTTAGGTATTAAAAGATTAACAAGAAGAAGAGAATTTCACGAGTTGTTGACTCCTGGAAAATCATTTTTTGATGATTAGGGCGTTGTGCAATTTATTTTGCAAACAATGAGAGACCCTTATTATTATTCAATCATCAACCTCGTCCTTCTCTTCTTGCTGAGGATTCTGTAAAGTTTGCAACTATTTTTGTTTTCTTTCTGTATTTGTTTATTAGAAAAAAAATCTGGATATTTTGTATAGCATTGGTGTATACCTAAAATGGGTTATCGATGGAATCCTATTGGATTTCAGTACTCTTGCATTATGTTCTTGATCATTATCCTTCAATCTCCTTCCTCATTTTCCCTCAATTCTGAAGGTAAACTTATTAACAACCTTTTCTCAAGTTTTCTACCATTTTTTCTGCTTTCGAATGTTTTAATTAAACGGTTTTTGATCGTTGTAGGATTTGTGTTGTTCAAATTCCGGGAAAGAGTTGATTCTGATCCTCATGGAACTCTTGCGAATTGGAATGTTTCTGATGATCATTCGTGTTCTTGGTTTGGTGTAACGTGTGTAGACAATAAAGTGCAGATGCTGTAAGTTCCTGTGTTTAGTGATTCTGTCTTTGTGATTCTTACCGCAGTTTCTGATGAATGTTTTGATTTGGTTCTGTAGGAATCTTAGTGGATGTTCTTTGGGAGGAACTTTAGCTCCTGAGCTAAGTCAAATGAGTGATTTAACATCTCTGTAAGGGAATTTTAACTGATCTGCTCTGTTTCTTGAAAGAACAAGAACTCGAAACCAATTCTTGTCTTTTTTTTTTCTGTATGTAGGATACTAAGCAAGAACAGTATCTCTGGTGCCATTCCAAATGAATTTGGGAATTTCCCGAGACTAAAGTTGTTGGATTTACGCGATAATAAGTTAACCGGAGCAGTTCCACATGAGCTAAACAAGATGTTGTCACCAGAAAACTTGTGAGTTAATAGGCTTTGCATGTGATGCTTTTTAAAACCAAATCAATCAATGTGTTTACAAGAGACTAACGTTTGTTTTATTTTTAAAATGGATTCAGATTGCTTTCTGGAAACAAATTTGCTGGTTTTGTGAAGATAAAGTTCTTGAGACTTCAATCGCTATATAAAGTCCACTTGAACAAACACCAAGAGTTGTCTTCTGCTTATAATGCTGTCTTCGACTGTGTAAATAGAAAACTTGGATACTGGTTAGTGAACATTACTGCATTCGAGATGTTTTAGATGGAGAAATCTTTATACAATGTTCAAATAACATTTTACAGTGTTTCAAGGAGAAGATTGCTAAGGCTAAACAAAGCACAAGCAATAGTATTGCGGATTAAAGCAACTACAAGACAGTACATGAAAGCATTTTCCTCTTTCGAAATATATATTCAATATCTCTATTATTTTGATTTGGTTTATATCTTTTCTATCCTTGTGTTACTGATATTCTGTGTTTATGTCCCTTCAGGCTGCTAAGGAAACCTCACGGAAAGAATAAAGTCGTGACTTACAATCCAAGTAAGCCAAAAACAGCCACTGAAAGTTCTGCTTTGAAACAACTAACTGTAACTCAAGCTTCAATATTCTTCCCCTTTATGGCAGGTTCTTTAGAGAACAAAACCAGTATCTTGAAAAGGCGTGAGTTACTAGAGGGAACAAGTAACTTAGCAGCTATGCCTGCACCTGAGGCTCCTAGTCCTTCTCCTCAGACCACAACCAAAGTGTTTCCTCGAAGCAGTGGGTCCTTTCCTGCATTAGCCACTGCAAAGAAGAGAATACCTCCACTAGTCCCTCCTTCTCTTCCTCCAACAGCTGAGAACAACAACAACAACACAAGCTCTGATCCCCCGAGGCAATTCGAAGAAGAAACAAATGAGTCTAAGGATGTTTGGTTCTATGTTGTTATCGTCGTTGCTGCTTTTGTAGCGGTGTTGATAGTAATAGCGGTTATATTCTTCTTCCGGAAAAGAGCTGTGAAGAGTATAGGTCCATGGAAGACTGGTTTAAGTGGACAGTTGCAGAAAGCTTTTGTAACTGGTAAGAAAAATGGTCTTAAAACTTTTTTTATTTGGTTCTGTTTTAGGTTTGACATAATGTGAGAAATGTTTTTCAGGTGTACCGAAGCTAAACAGGTCTGAATTAGAAACAGCTTGTGAAGATTTCAGTAACATCATTGAAACATATGATGGTTACACTGTCTATAAAGGAACTTTATCAAGTGGTGTTGAGATTGGTGTTGCTTCAACCGCGATTTTGGAAAGGAGAGAATGGTCAAGAGCCATGGAAATGACTTACCGCAGAAAGGTAACACTCTAAGAATCATATCTTTCGCCTTTTTTTGGAAGAATCTAGATTGATATTGGGAGAGCTCAAAATGTGCAGATTGATACAATGTCAAGAGTCAACCATAAGAACTTTATAAATCTAATTGGTTACTGTGAAGAAGATGAACCATTTAATAGAATGATGGTTTTCGAATATGCCCCAAATGGAACTCTTTTCGAACATTTATATGGTAAACATCTAAAAATGCCTTCATCTTGTGATCTTAGTTGCTTATTAGTTATTATTATCATCAACCCTATTCATCTTTTCTTGTTCAGATAAGGAGATGGAGCATCTTGATTGGAGCGCGAGGATGAGGATAATTATGGGAACTGCTTATTGTCTGCAACATATGCACGAGCTTAATCCGCCAATGGCACTCTCCAAACTTGTCTCGTCAGCAATCTACTTAACCGATGATTATGCAGCAAAGGTTCCTAAACTGTTTCAATGGTTCTTGATGTCTTGCGTAACAAGAAACTATTTCAGTGTTGTGACTCATAACCAAGCCACTAAAGGATTTTTTTTCTTTCTACTTTTCAGATCGGAGAGGTTCCTTTCGGCTCACAGACTGGACTTAAATTGAGAAAACCGACAAGTGGTGATTTAGACAAATCTTTATTGCCATTGCCACATGAACCAGAGACTAATGTCTATAGCTTCGGAGTATTAATGCTTGAGATAATCTCTGGAAGACTCGCTGATTCAGATGAGGAAGGTTCAGTTACAAAATGGGTACGTAAAACTCGATATCAATCTTTCTTCTTTAAAATTGAAATCAATAATGTCACATTTTTATGATTTTATTGACAGGCATCCAAGTATCTGGAGAGTGAAAAGTTGAAGGATATGATTGATCCTACATTAACGACGTTTAAAGAAGAGGACCTTGAAGTGATATGTGACGTGGCACGACAATGTCTGAGAGTTGACCAGAGTCAACGACCAACAATGAAAGATGTAGTTGAGCAATTAAAAGAAGTAATCAACATTTCTCCCGAACAAGCTACACCGAGACTCTCTCCTCTTTGGTGGGCAGAGCTTGAGATCTTATCCTCTGAAGCTACTTAACCAGAAGAACCGTTCTCTCCTCCTCCTCTTCCTCTCTTCGAGCTGTCACACGTGTCGGAGTTTCAGGTTCACACGCTCTTTCTCTCTCTTTCCCTCTGCTTACAGTACAAATCGTCGTTAATTATGTTCAAAGTTGTCTTTTTTTATTCTTCATATTCAATTTGTTTCTTGATTGGCTTTGATAGTGTATTTGGATCCAGATAATACAACGATGTGTCTGTGTAATTGTATTCTACCATACATATACATATTACGTATATTTGTACGTATTTTGTGGTGAAAAGTTGTTTGTAACCGTTAATTTCGGCTTTTAGACCATTAGTGCTTCTCGATGCATGCATATACATATATTTCTCTTTTTATTGCAGAGATCTTAGTAGTCTTTAAACATCTAAAATTTAAAGAAAGTGGAGATAAGTAGAGGTGGACGCGGATTCGGATATCCGGGTTAGGAGGTATTCGTGATCCGATCCATTTCATCTAAATAATTAATTATCCGATTTGATTCCATCTGTAACCATTTCACTAGAAGAAAACATGGTATATTCCGACAAAAAAAATTTCCTCGGAATATACCGATGCTAGTCCGACGACATTTCGAGGAAAAGAAATTTTTATGTTTCCTCGAAATTTTGTTAGAAAATTGCAACGGCATTTCGAGGAAGTCCGATTTCGTCGGTATAATCCGTCATTATTCTGAGGAAACCATCTCCAGAGTATAAACACTTTTTTAAAAAAAATTAGAATTTCTGAGGAAATAGTTCACATTCCTTGGAATTCCCTCGGAAATTCCTTATGAAAAAATGTATTCGTGATATAGAATTTAGAGTTATATTCCTCAGAATTTCCACATAATTTTCCAAGGAAATTGTGAGGAATGTTCACATTTCCTAGGGATTTCCTCAGAATATTCTGAGGAAATTCCAACTGAAAACAAATTTTGAACCGAAAATTCCGTGTTACGGTTAGAAAATATAACAATAAGACCTAAATAAACATTATTGACTGTCTTAAATAGATTATGAATCCAAATATTTGTTTGTCTCCAACTAATGAACTTTTTCCGATTGTATAAACGAATTTCGTACAACATAAAGAAACACTTAGACACTTTAACAAACGGTAACGGCAATACTTGTAATGGATTTTAAAATTTTGAAATTTTATTTTTTTATGAACATCTTTAGAAAGAATCAGGAATGCTATGTATTGAACAAGATTAAAATTGTGTAAGAAAGTATCTAGGGTCATGTCAAAAAAAAAAGTATCTAGAGTCTAAAAAATTGAGGTTTTGAAACCACAAACAAGCTTTCTTCAGAATTTCCTCTGAAATTTCTGACGAAATTCTGCGGAATATTTCGGTCTAAAAGAAAAGCATGCAAAGAATATACCCTTTTCCGCGAAATTTCCTAGGAATATTCTGAGGAGCAGGGCATATTCTTCTCGCGGAAATCGGTTTTTGACCAATTAATAAGCATTATGAGGAAACTCCGACGGATACTAAGGGGGCCATCGGAATTTCCTCGGAAATTTTTCATTTAAAATTTTTGCGAAAATCGAATTAAGTAATTTTCGATGGAATTCCAAGGAATCCTTCCCGTCGGAATGTTCTCATATATCTCACCGACTTTTTCTTCTTCCCCATTTCTCCTATCTCTCTCTAAATTTCCTCCGACGTTCTCTCTCCTATCTCACGGTAATCTCTGGCGAAACCTCTCTTTTCATCCTCAAATTCGTTCATAAACTATGTAAGAAACCTATCCCCTTCTCTTAGGTTCTTTTGGTTAGGTTTTCGATGAGATTTGATGATTCTAAAAGTTTTTTGATAGAACTTTGTTAGGGTGATTGGTAGATTGTTGTGTAATAGGTTAAGATTGTGATTTTGTTGTGATAATTTGTTGTATTAATTGAATTAGAATTTTTATAAAGTTTTTATTAATTTTGTATTTATAAAATTGATATAATATTTATCAAAACGTTTTTGTATATAAATTCGGTTTTGGATTTATAAAAAATGATTTTATAATTATAAAACTATTTCTATATTTATAAAAACTTTTTCTAAATTTTTAATAAGATTTTTATAATTTATTAAAACTATTTTTGGAAATATAAAACTATTTTATATTTAGAAAAATATTTTTATATTTATTAAAAATATTCTTGAAAATATAAAAATATTTTTTATATTTATAAAAAAAATTATTTATTAAAACTATTTTTGGAAATATAAAACTATTTTTATATTTATAAAAAGATTTTTATATTTATTAAAACTATTTGTGGAAACATTATAAAAAGATTTTTATATTTATTAAAACTATTTGTGGAAACATAAAACTAGTTTTATATTTTTTTAAACTCGTTTTGGATTTATAAAACTATTTTTATATTATTATAACTATTTTCGGATTGATAAATTTTTTCTATATTTATAAAAAGATTTTTAATATTTATTAAAACTAATTTTGGATTTATAATTTTTTCTATATTTATAAAAATATTTTTATATTTATAATAAAAATAAAAAATAAAAAAATCGGAATAATTCGATGGATTAGTTTCGTTGGAATTTTATCGGATTGTTTTTCCAACGGAAGTCGTCGGTATTCCCTCGAAACCTCTGACGAAATTCCTAGGAAATATTTTTTTCCTAAGGGATTTTTTGAGGACCATTTTCCTCCGAATTTCGACGGAATAAGCGTATTCCGACAAAATTCCGAGGAAAATGGTCCTCAAAATTTGCATGTTTTCTTGCAGTGTTTGGATATTTAGTGTCTTGGCTATTCGAAAATTATAGATTTTTAACCGGACTTCCAATTCGTTCCATACAAATAAGATAAAAATAAATAAATAAGTAAATAAAATATTTAAAAAATATTTTATTTCAAACATAAAAAAGATATTTATTTTTTCAAATTCTAATAACTAATATAATAAATTTAATAAACAAAATATTATAAAACATGTATAAAATAGAATACTTATATATGTTATATATAACTAATTAAATGTATGTATAAGATCGGATACTCATTCCTACAAATATTAGTATTTGTGATTTGTTTCGTTTCCTACCGGATATTGCATATTAGTATTTGATTTCCTTCATAAAGTTACGGATATCCGGAATTTTCAGTTTGAATCTAAACGAATAATGAATCGAATCAAAATTTACGGATACTTTGTCTACTCCTAGAGATAAGAGACTTAACTAGTTTTCTTTTAAGAATCTCATAAAAATACAAAATGTTCTATACATATTGCTTCATGATTTAGTTTATTTTGTGATTTAAATGTATATTATTCTTAAAATTATATTAAAATTAAAAATATTATATCTCTCAATACTTACCAAGAGAAATGTTATAAGATTAAATACAATGATCTTGTTGAATATGTACATAAGAGGTGTTAAATAATTGAAAAACGGGATGTGGATTCAATCTAGCTGAATAAATTCAAAGGTTGCATGAAAAAAATGTGGAACCCAAAGAGTTATTTTAGCTCATTCCGAGCCACACAAAAGCAAAGAAGTTATTGAAAATTTCTAAAAACAATCATAATAAGATAGGTACATGTGTCGCTATATTATTAGTTATCCAGATTTCATAGATTTTTTTTATTTCATCCTAGTTTTTAGTTCAACTATCTTATACCAAATAATATATTTTTATAAAAAAACTATACTAAAAGTTATAACGTTTAGATTTGGTTCATTGGATTTGGACATAGAAAAAAAATTTGTATTAACTTTATTAAATCTATTATCCTTTTTGTGTCAAAAATAATTAATACTCAAAATCTACCAATTATCTTTTAGTTATCAAAATCACAACAATTATCGATTTCAAAACCAATCTTTCAACCAAACCCAAAATATACCAAATATTAATTTTCCTCTGGTTTCCTCTATTCCAAACTATCGTCCATTGGATCACTGATGCTATATTCATCTCAACCACCTCCTTTTTACTTCCACGGGTAATGAAAATGTTGTAAATATTGGACCAATTGAATTTCCTAGATTTTCTACACAAACAATTGTTGAAGGTATAAGCAGTACGTGTAAATGAATTCACTCACAATGCAGATGATTTAACTTGTACTCTCCGGAAAAATCTTAAATAGACTACTGCACAAAATTTGGTGCTACTAGGTAGGTGGGTTAAATATGGAAAGAATAACATTGTTGGCAAAAACCAAAAAAAATGAGTCATATTAGGGACAAATTGCTGAGTACTGTAACGAACATTATTCATTCTCTTTCCCTCGTGATGGAATTTTGTGCAAGCACTACAACTACCGACAATGTTGTTGACAATGTGGTTAACAAATACATTAAAATAGGAAGTACTACAACATTAGTGTTTGCGTCGATTCTGTAAAAGAATCACAATTGTATGGGCAAGTGTATCTCAGAGCTCCAACTCATAATGACATGCAAATAAATATGCAAGTTAGTGAAATGTGGGGATTTCTAGGGAGGATGAGTATTGATAGCATGCATTGGGAATGAAAAATTGTCCAACGGCGTAGGAATTTTAATTTACTAGGAGAGATAAGGGACGCATATTGTAGGCAGGGGTTAGGTGGATCTTTTCAGGATTGGATGGGCGAGTGGTCGGGTGATGGTTTTTGACTCAATATGAAACCTGAAAACAAAAGAGAAATTTATAAATTTTTATGGGATTTTATAAAGCAATACAGAAAAATATGATACAAATAATAATGATAAACAAGAGATGAATGAGGATGATTATGATAAAATGATGATTAAATGATGAACGAATGATATGTGATAATGAATAAAGTTTAATGAGAAAAGTAGATTGATGGAAGAGGGGATCTTTGTTACTAGACGTGTGTCTCTCTCAAAAAAAAATCAGTGGATGGAATGATGAAACAAGATGGATCTGCATGGTATTGCTGGACGTGTTTCTCTCTCAAGATCGGATAAGGAATGAAGATGGATCAATAGACTCCACAAAGAACAATGGTCAGATCTTTGATATGTTAAGGTTTTGCTCTCAAGTTGGCTTCTCACAAACTAGAAAGACTTAGGGTTTTGCTGGGGGAAAACTGACTCATATATTCACTACAAGAAAACTCGTCCATTACTAGGACGGGTTTTCCTCGTTATTTCCTAGTAAATGGCCTTTTACTAGGAAATAACGAGGAAACGCGTTTCCTCGAAACATGTTCATTGTAAAGCCATTTTCCTCGTAAGGTCCTAGCGAATTTACGAGGAAATGTTTTCTCGTAAAGGCATGGTGATATTTTCCTCGTAAGGTCCTCGTAAGCTGTA